GGGAAAATATTTTCCCACCAAAAAGGAGATGAAACATTTTCATCAAAAATTCGGAAAATGCACACGTGTGGGGAAAATCCGGAAAATATTTTTCGTGGAAAATTTCGCCTATCAAACCGTAAAAAAAGTGGAAAGTGGAAAATATTTTCTTACTTTTCCGGAAAATGTGGCCTATCAAACACGGCCTTAGTCAAGAAATGTTTTGGAATAGTTTTGTGTAATCTCACATTACTACGAAAATGGTAAATTTTGTTCACGAAATCACTTGTAAATTTTCAGTCTTTTTCTTGAAAGATCCACTTTGGAATGTTCTAGTTATGTATGGTCCATTGTTCGGAAGGCGCTTGGAAACTTCGCCCAAACAAATTCAGAAATTTAATGTTCAATCTATCATTAATATTATTGAAATAACGTAAGAAGATTTATTTGACTATTATATTTGTTTGAAAATAATAAACATAAAAATATATATTTTTTCATTTCAGAGAAAGCAAATAAAATATTTTGACAGAAATCATCGTCAAGAACAAGATATACAAATTAATAAAATGTTGAAATTAATTTTTTTAACAAAAAATATGTTCGATAGTTAGGAAAAATTGAGCACTTTAAATACAATTAAAATGTTTTGTAAATACTTTAAATTCAATTAATAAGTAAAGAAGGTTCTAGATTACGTAGAATTGTTACTTATATTTCCAAATCGACGACCTTTTCAATTAGACCGCTTGACTGGCATTGGTTTGGGTTCCCTGGATGGAGGCTGGCCGGCCAATTAAGGAAATTTGAACTATTAATCCCCAACTTCCTCACCTCATTCAATTTTATCCTTTAACTTATTATTTTAGCAGTATTACTCCAACCTTTCAGTTTATAGCATTTTTGTTCCCCTCATAAACAATTAAATAACTTTTTGACCGTTAAAAAAACATCCTAATAATGACTCATTGCTCAAATGGAAAATGCTCTTTCTTTCGTGCTTTGTTGTAGTCAAAGCTTTGATCCCGATTGCTTATCGCTTATGGCCCATCTTACATCGTAGTTCGAGATCCAAGTCTGCACCCAATAAGATCTCTTGATTATTCGTCGACTGATTTAGAAGCAAGCTACCTTTGGCCTATCTCATCATTTTTTTCTTATTAGTAAGATAGGCTGCCATTTTACCCTTTTAATAATAAAGTAAATTTTCTAAAACTTTTTCACTCTGTTGGGAAAGCCTTTACCTTTTGGATCATATTTGTTCCATGATACACTTTTTGGTTCCAAATGGGTCTACCTCTTTCAGAAAGAACATAAATTCTAATTTCAAGGTTTGACATTTTCTCTGTGGTTTATTTTTTTTGTAGATTTGTTGATTCCTATTTCCTTTATTTTATATTTAATTTAATTAGTACAAGGATATAACTCCCTTATGAATAAAATGTTGACATTTTAACAATTAAATAGATCACAACCATACAATTGGGATAGATATTATCAAAAAAAGTTGAATAATTGTATCTAGCACAACTGGTGCTATAATATCAGTTTAGGTGGCGTTAAATAATATACTCAATAAAAAATAAAATTAAGTGATTTATTTAATTATGGTTGTGGTACATGTTAATAATGATTTACACACTTGATGTGATGAAATATGATTGAATCAGAATTTTTTCAATCAAATAAAAAAAGCTTTATCACTCTCTTTTAGACACCCAATCTTGTAACTCATGTACAAGTAGTATCATTCATTTAATTATACCTCTATTTTAATATCACATTAGCGCCACTAGAGTGACATTTTAATGCCAATAGTGCTAAATGGTATTACTCAAATAAGTTAGAGAAAGTTACAATAAGTCCAGTTATGTTAAGGACCATTTCTGCAATTCTTGCTATCACTAATCTCATGCCTCTTTTATGGTAAAATTTCGTTAAGAAGAAAAATCCTCACGCGCTTATTTCAACGCTGCATTAGAACACGCATAATATTTAATATTATACATATTCGCACACAAAGATTAGTCCAGTCTTCCAACTTCGTCATCAACAAAGGTTCAAACGAGCAAGGCTCGTTTGTACTCTTCTACCATCTTTCTGCACACACTTCACACACTGCTATACCTAAATTAAACTTTCTTTGATGAAAAAA